GGCGCCAATTTTTTGATTATGTTGCTGAAGGTGAGCCGTATCTTTAAGGTAATCTTTAGACTTTCAAATTAGGCATGTCCTGATGATGTATTGACAATTAATTACACTTCCGCTATATAGGGTCAAGAAATAACTATGGATCGTTGCGTACATGTATGGCAAATCCCTCCTGCTAATACTGTATGGTCTTTTTTGCAGTTACATGGTAATGTGCAATTTGATTGATTATTAACCTTTACCGTTTGTTTTTGAACTTTTTATGACATGTCTCCAAGTTGTTGATGCACTGTTTTGGATATATTGTTGGGTGGTGTCTACGTAGTGACTGTGGCACCAATTTTCGAGTGCATTTGTCATTTTCCGTTTTCCACAAAAGGTAGGCACTTCAAAGCGATCAGATGTTGATGGCAGGGATTTTCGGACGAACCTTCGTCATTAAATGTCTGATGTGGTCATTCGTTGGATGTTTATCTTGACTCCTGTTTTCATAATATTTTGTTTCTGTTTACACGTGCAAAAAATGGAAAGCGTTGATAACCGACGGTTAAATATTGTGTCGTTTGCACATTACTACCATGTTATACTTTCGTACACCGGTGGATCCCGCATTTACTTGAAGTTCCTGGTTGTTTGAACAGGGACTTCTAACCTATCTGTGCGAAACGTGAACCCTATGTCTCAAAAATACACAGACAGCGGAATGCAGAATATGCGAAGATGGTATTTTCGTCAATCACTCTAGTGTTCGAAGCACTCCTTCTATATGAAACATATTTTACGTACGTGAATTAGAAGATAGATACTATTCCGGACTTATAAATGGATAAACCAGCCTGTCGCGGTGAAGGGTGCAGCAAATTTAGTCTTCCAGAATCAGACTTCCTCTTCCTCAAGTGGAACCTCCAAGAAAGTTTCGTGCCGTTCCGATGCCGAAAAGCACATTATTACGTAGCAAAATGACGATAAATGGTATGAATTATACGTGAAATTTATATGCAAAAATTAAGTAAGTCATTAATTTTAGCTTTTGTGAGAACCAGCTGTTTCGCAGTTTTTTAGTTGAGAGAAGCTATTTGCATATGTACAAAAAATGCAGTGAATTATTGGAAGGCAGATATCGTTGAGATTCGTATGGCGGCTCCGGTTTTATTTTAGTTAGTATGTTTTGTTGTGAACTAATGTCTTTGTCTTTAGGCTATGGTCATGTGATCGAAACCACCTACTCTTAGTCCATGAATTTAAACTCTTTGCCATATGTAGCCTTTAAAGTCTTGCTTTTTGACGGTACGTCTTCTTGTGACGAATTATGTAAAGAATTCATACCTGTTACAAAATATATGCGTAGGAAGTGTACACCGAAATTTGGAAAGCACACTCGATTTCTTTTGTTGCAGCACATCTCAGTTCAAACGCTGTTTTAAGCATAATTTTTTTCCATTGCTTAGCAAAGTTCAGTGCCCAATATTGAAAACTTTTTGGTCTTATAAATAAGCGACTCCCACAAAATTCCGACCCAGGCACCTCATTGCGGTGTGGGAGTGACAACGGCCAGAGCGCTAAAGCACGGTGGGACACGTGCCCTGGCAGCTCCTAGCAAAATATCTCTGACCGTGGACCAGCGAGTGGTAAATTAACAGATCTAACAATCATGAACAGAAGAAGAAAAGGATATGGGCCCCAGTACCCTGCACGTCCCTGGGACCGGCCTACGGCGGCGGGCCAGCAACCGAAAGACGATGGGCTGCCAAGAATCTCAGGATGCACCAGGCCGCCAAAAAGAAAAAGAAATCGACCTGACCTATCGATATGCGCCTACAACTGTAGGTCGCTATCGATGGACGAACACATCAATGATCTTCTCCAGGAGATCAGTAAAATATCTTGCGATGTC